CCTTCAAAGGATAAGGCCGGAGAGCACCTTCGATGCCATAGCTAACAGGCTGATGCCACGGTGGTTTTCACACAGCGTCCGCGTATCCCTTTTGAAGGTACGGATAACTATCGACATGCCCCCTTTTGCGGGCACTTTCTCTTCGTCCCATATAGCACCAGTAAGCTTTGTCGGGTGGGTCACCAGGGATTTTCCGCCTGTGAAGAGGGCTTGATACAGGCCGTCCCGTCCTGGTGCCTTGTCGCGTCTCAGTACGGCCCGTATGCATTATCTCCACAGGCTGTGTTGCTGGAGGCCAACTGAATTGCTCTTCGAAGCGTTTGGCTCATTTTTCCAGTCGACGTTTTTGAGAGGGAATTAATGAGGCATCTTTTTCACTAATCGTTTCACTGGGAGTTGCTTTCCCAGGGCCAGTCGATCGTATCAGTTGATATAGGGCTGTTTACCGTAGCAAAAGCCTTCTCCATCTCCCGAGCTTTCGATGTCCACCAGAGCTTTCGGTCTTTCCTTCACTCTTCACTATTTGGCGTTTGAGGGATTTGCGTACGCCGTCGTACTCGTTGCTGCTGGTGTGGCTTTCCTGGCATCAATCATGGATAGCGACCTCGACGACATCCAGTGGTCTTGTGGTCGAATTGGCAAAGTTGGGCAGTCAGCACTAAACGCCTCTAGCATAGCTCCTTTCACATTTTGCCACGCTTCATCCCCATGGCCCCTGCCACCATGGTATTGTTTTACTGTGGAGAGTTGTTGGGCTGTTGAGCTATGGCAGTTCTTCGAAGCTGATGGATTGACTTGCTTCTTGCCGACTTGCGAGGACCTGAAGGGAAACGAACTGTCAAGCGTGAGCGCACCATGGCGTAATCGGAATTAAGTGGTGTGCCCCAGAAGGAACGGCAGTCTTGAATTGTGGCTCTCCAACGGTGGCTGATGGCCACGTGGTCCACGGGTGATTTGTAGTTGGCGGCCGCCGGGTTATGTTTATGTTGAAAGTTCGTGCTTGCCAGAAACAGTTCGTGATCAGCACACAACTGAAGGAGGCGATCCCCGTTGTCTGTTCGGCGAGCATCGACTCCGAATCGACCACCCAAATGTGATTCCAAGGAGCTCAGACGACCTACTTGAGCATTCAAATCGCCTGCAAGGATCACAATGTCAGTGCTTTTTGCCTGACGAATGAGCCTGGATAGCTCTCGATAGAAAGTATCCTTCTCCGCATCAGAACTGCAGTCCGTCGGGGCATAAGCCGACACGACAAACAGGCACCGCTTTTTATGCCGCGAGGCATTGAGCTTGATTGAACTGGATAACCGGACGACGCAGAGACGACTGTTCACTGGGATCCAACCCAGCAAAGCGCGTTCAGCTCTGGGGCTGAGTGCAACACCCACGCCATATATTCCACGACTCATCGCTTCTGGGTCACCGGACAAAGGGAAGGAGAAATGTAAAAGAGCGAGTTCATATTTGGCGTTCTGAGATGCATAACCACGCTTGTATTTTGTATGCGTGTTTCGGAGACAGCATACGTCGATTTTAAGGGAGTGTGCGGTTTTGGGGGCCAACCTTTTCTAACCCGTCCTTCCTCGGGGAAAGGCAACATTGCTGCTTCGATAAATATGGACATGCTGGTCGCATGGAGGAAACACCTTTCTGCCTTCACACTCCTGTCGCAGAGGACAGCACGACTTTACCCCCAGATCGTAGTACGGGGTCTCGATGCTCTTGGTCTGGCTACTCCCCTTTGGCCTTTCTGGCATGGTTGTATCTTGTTGAACGAATTTCCAGCCAGTGTAGCCCTCGGGATCATTGCAGCACTCAAGCGCGGCAGTTTTAGGTCGGGTGACCGGAAGGTTTGTGGTTGGAACCCGACCTCGACCCCCAGACCGCCTCGTAGCACGATTACTCGTAGTACGGGGTCTCACTGCTCTTGGTCTGGCTGCTCCCCTTTGGCCTTCCTGGCATGGTTGCCCCTTGTGGAACGACCAGCCAGCCAGGATCATTGCAGCACTCAAGCGCGACCACCACGTCGAGGTGGCAGCTTTAGGTCGGGTTCTGAGGCTAAAGAGGGTTGTTCACAGTCCACGTCGAGGTGGCAGCTTTAGGTCGGGTTCTGAGGCTAAAGAGGGTTCCTTGTTCACAGTCAACCTTTCTCTCAATAAACAATCCGGGCTGAAAGTAGGTAACCAGCTGAATTTTTTGCTCGACGTACTGTACCCAATGGTCTCTGATAGTTTCGCTAACAGGAAGCTTGAGCGAATAAAGTGGAACAGTCTGCGGATGTTCCCAGTATTTTTGTCTCTTCCACTGCTACGGCCTTTCAATTGCACCAACTTTCTTGGTTTGCACGGACACTCAGTTTCATCTGCACGGTGGACAGACCGACGCCGCCGCCAGCCGGAGCGTATCCAGGTCGACCCCCGTCGAGTACGCTACTGACTTTTCACAAGGGGAGGTGTTGGGGATATCAATATCCCCCAGAAAACGCTGTTTTTATGTGTGCTAGCGAACTCCTGGCATCTTCAAGGTCAAACTATGAAAAATCAATGGCCTATTGATACTCCAAGAAAATTTAAATCCGACCACGTACAGGATACCATTCTTTCCACTGACTTGGGTTCGGGAGCTCCGGGCATCGCCTGTTGATCGTGTGTTGTTGGATTATTAAAGTTTGTGTCCGAGGTTCTCGTCTTCTTACTATTTGCCGTGCTAGGAGTCTGTATCAAGCAACATAGCTGGGGATAGAGTATTGCCACAATCCGCATTATCATATTGTTTGCTCGCTGCGTGACCGAACCGTAACAGTACCGCAAACGGAAGTTCCGGCTTTGAGTAGCTCCTTGGATATCTGTTCCAAGTAGCCGTTAATATCCAACAGCAGACCATCCGACAGGTGTTCAGGAAGCCGGTTTTGATGTGCTCATTTGATTCCTAGGTCCACTAACTTCTCAGCGGTTAATCAAGGTGCGTTTTGCTTAGGTCTTAGGAGCAGCAGCTCAACAGTGGGTTGTTGGAGTTCACGCTGGTATTCTAAAAGGAGCGGCAGCTAGTGGTCAACCTTCGCCACCAGTAACACGCCGACTTGGTCAGCTTGGATTCGGGACTGTTGCGTTGGTCGGCGCCACGTTGTCAGCCGACTTCTGTCGTTCCGGAAATTGATACCATAGAAACAGTTTTTGATCGGCACACATCTGAGGCAGGCGCCCTCCGTTGTTTGTGATCCGTATATCCAACTCAAGACGAGCACTCACTTGGACAGCGCTTAGTTCGCCAACCTAGGCGCTCATGTCACCAGCAACCACAACGATGTTTGACCTTTCAGCCCATTGTAAAAAGAGCGCATAAAGTGTCGTAGAAACTCCTTCGCAGATTCAGAGCTACAGTTTGTTGAGACATGAGTAAACAATAAGCAGTGTCGACGGACCTGAGCTACAGTTTGTTGAGACATGAGTAAACAATAAGCAGTGTGCGACGGACCTCACCTTCTCAAGATTTTTTCACAGATTTCGCCAAACGAACCACGCAGGGGGAATTTTCAACAGGCACCCTCACAAATAGACATGCTTCCTCCCGGTTGCTCAATACACTGTCAACCCCGGCATATCCAGTTGCAGCAGCATCTGCATCACTACAGGTGCGCAAGCCGAACCTGAAGGAGAGTGAAAGGGGCAGTCAGTTCAATTACAATATTTGCGCCCTTTTTCCTTTTTTCGACAGACAGTGTACATCAATACAGAGGGAATCCTGCTTGCTTCAGTTCACGAACAATGAAGGAAGCTCATTAAACCGGGGTTTGAAAACAGACTTCGAAGTGTTTAAGGTTGTTACTGAAGTCAGGCATACAGAAGCTGCAACTGACTGTCGCTCATGACGAACAAAGTGGTCGGTTCTAATGCTAGCACCGGTGGAGAAAATATCTGTATTTGGATGGGGTGGGCTTGAAAAGGGAATACGTAAGAGTGTACAAAGGGTGTCAGCACTAGTATGTTTTCGCTTACCCGCGATACGGCTTATGACACCGCGCAACAGCCGATGTGGTTGCTATATTAGTTTCCGGAATCATTGTTGTACATGACCTGGGATACTGCCAGGGTCTTGACCAAAGTCCGCCTTAAACGCCTGACCGCAAAGTAGCGATATTTAATGTAAGCGCATTACCATTTGACGGAAAAAGTCGCCACACGTGTTCCAACACCTGGAGGGCCAAGAGGCTATGTTGGTCAGACTCCTAACCATTGGCCGGCTTGGTATTAGTCTCATCGGGTCTTGCACAGTCACCACCTAGTACGACTAAATGGGTCGCGAAGGCACGCAAATCCTCTCCCCGATAATGTTCAGTCTCTATGTAACGGAGTAATCTCATGCCACGTTGGCCGTCACGTGGTGCCATCGGCCGGGTCATTCTAACTGCTGACATCTCCGTGGTCCTAATGTTGTGAGAGTCGAGTAGTTCCAGGATGAGATCAGAGGAAATACAAACAGAAGGGCGCACTGTACACTTTAATCGTCCAATAACGGTGGCGCATGAGCTGAAAATATAGTGAGAATTACGAGTTAATGGTCTATGCAAAGGTATGGTTTATATAGTCATGATGCTTATTATTAAGGAAAGACCAATCCACTCACCACCTATTTTATTCTGTGTAATCAACTTGCCCAGCTCAGCGAACAAGCCAACGACCACCATCATTACCTATTGTTGCTAGCTGCAGAATCTACGGTTTAGTCGGCCGTAGACACTGAAATCATTCCCCAAATTACGACATTCAGTTCCTCTGGTAAGTCTTGACGCTCGCGCTCTGCAACAATCTAGAAAACAGTTGGCTCTTTTATGTCCGTAGGTCTCGCTTTCTACAGATGAATGCTGTTTCTCTGAAGCAAACCGACCTCAAGTCGTACGTGGTTGTCGGAATTGAGTGCTGCAATAGTCCCACGGACTAAGTTGGCTGGAAGGCGAAAGGGGATCATTCAGACGGACAGCAGTGAAACCACGTACCAGTAATCGTACTAAGAGGCTGTCTGCGGGTAAAGTCGTACTGTCTCTGCGATAGGAGTTTTAAGACAGTAAGGTGTTTTCCCCCAGGCGACCAGCATGTCCATCATCACCATCATCAAAGACAGCAACATCAGTGTTGGCACTGATGCTTCACTGCCGTACAACCATAATGTTCGTTTAGTTATATAATATTATATTATATATATATATAATCGTATTAAAAGCCCTA